TAGAAATGAGTGGGATACCCAGCCCTTCCCTAAATCTACTGTTCTTCGGGTAGTCCATGAATAAGGCTTTGTTCCTGTTGCCCCCTGTACCCATGTAGTTCTGGAGGACACTGGCCCTCTTGGCTCCAATAAAACTGAATTCTGGGCACCAGTATCCACCATAAACTCAATTGGTTTCCCCTCTATTTTCAGGGTTACCCTGGGCTCAGGGAGGGGACCTGGGCCCCATCTCCCCTAGTCACTATCTTCACCCCCAATTAGAGTTGATAATACCTTAGCTGATCGCTTATTCTTCTTAGGGCAATCCTTCACCCAGTGCCCTTCCTCCTTGCAGTATGCACACTGGTCTTTCCCTACCTTATTTTGTAGTCTGGATCCCGCTGATGAGCTCCCTCCGTACTGGGGGTTGGTTGCCAATAATATCTCTCTGAGGTCCTTCTTGTGGCAGGCCTGTTGTCTCTCCAGGACCCTGGTCAGGCTTGCTTCCTGTCTTTTTTCTTTTCTTTCCTCTCTTTGTTCTGCTGTCTCCCTTCTATTATAAACCTTTTCCACCACTGCTATTAAGTCCCTAAGGTTCTTTTCTCCTAGTCTATCTAAAGACTTTAACTTTCTCTTGATGTCAGGGGCTGCCTGGTTAATGAAAGCAAACATCACAGTTTGAGATGTTTCCTCTGCTTCTGGGTCATATGGAGTGAAGTGCCAGAAAGCATCTTGTAACCTCTCTAAGTATGAGGCTGGGCTCTCTTAGGGCCCCTGTCTGACATCATAGACCTTAGACATATTGGTGGCTGCAATTGAGTCTGGCAGAAGACCAGGAGCCTCTCCTTACCTTCTGCCATGTTGTAGTCCCAGTTGGGACGGCTAGGGGGAAAGCTGGCATTAATGATGCCTGGGTCTGTGGTAGGGTCCCCAGTGGGGCCTGGAACCAATTTCCGGGATGCCTGCAGGATCCTGTTTCGCTCCTCAGTAGTGAACAGGACACTCAGGAGCTGGTGGAAATTGTCCCAGGTGGGCTGGTGAGTGAAGAGAACAGTTTCCAATAAGTTAATCTAGTCCCAGGGGTTTTCAGAGAAAGGCGCATTCTGTGAGCGCCAATTGTAAAGATCACTGGTGGCAAAGGGCCAGTAATGAAAGGGCTGATTGCCCTCTCTGTCCGGGGGACCCGCCGGCCGGAGGGGGAGGACAGTGGTGTCGGGCTGGGGGCTGCCCCCCTCTGGCTCCATGTGGCCTGCGCAGGTCCCTGTGGAGGCGATGGTGGCTCCTCAGGGTTAGGAGGCAGGGTCTGCGCTTGTGGCACCGTTGTCGGGGTGCCCATCTGAGAGGAGTAGGGCGGGGTAAAGATGTCGTTCTCCATGCCTCCCTGGAGAATGGGTTTCTCTCCTGCCTTTGGTCTGAGAGGGAGGACCTGCAGAGGTGGAGGGGGAGCAGTTGGATTAATCAGGGGAAGGAAGGACTTGACCCAGGCTGGGGGGCCATCAGGTTGTTCGATGAGGCCTCGCCAGGTCACGATGTATGGGATCTGGTCCTGGTGGCCCATCCGTGGGCAGAAGACGTGGTCCTCTACCCTCGAAATCAAACTCAGGTTAAAAGTCCCTTCAGGGGGCCATCCAACATTGAAGGAGGGCCAATAAACAAAACATAAAGTTGTCCATTTCTTTTTCTTTACATCTACACTATTGTTATGGGTAATTGTCTTAATGTCCCCCCAGTGAACTAGTGTAAGATCTAGAGGGGAAAATGCGGTGTTGCCCATAGTATTTATCAGTCCCATCTGTTTCATCAACAAAGAAATTAGAACGAAGATCGTAAGACACAAGAACGACACAGACAGAGGGCCCAGAATAAACTACCGCAGCTTTCAGATGGTCTGGACTCTCGGCCGTGTGAGTTCCCCGGCTCGATTATGCCAAAGACTGTATTAAGATCTAGAGGGGAAAATGCGGTGTTGCCCATAGTATTTATCAGTCCCATCTGTTTCATCAACAAAGAAATTAGAACGAAGATCGTAAGACACAAGAACGACACAGACAGAGGGCCCAGAATAAACTACCGCAGCTTTCAGATGGTCTGGACTCTCGGCCGTGTGAGTTCCCCGGCTCGATTATGCCAAAGACTGTATGGATAGGACGCGTGTGTCCCAACAGGGTCGCAAGGTCCTCTGAGGTTTCAGATGGACTAGTGTCCTGGTGGGGTGTCTGGTGGGGAACACCCACCCCAACGAGGATGGAGACGTCTCCCGAATCCTCCAGGTCACCTTGCTAGCATTCCAGTGACAAAAAACTGAGATCAGATGGCCACGACCAAAGGGAAAGTATAGAAAAGACAGAAAAACAGGTGGATACAGTTTTACAAAAACTTACCCGGCCGGTTGATCACAAACCTGTCTGTCTGTCTGTCTCTCTCTCTCTCTCTCTCATCCACTGTATATGCTGGCCTTTCTGGGGTTTCTCCTACTGTTGTACCTCATCCACTGGACCCCAAAAAGACCACCGAGGACCAAACACACCAAAATGCAAAAGCAAAGATTTATTGTTTATTCGGGCTTAAGCTCGGGCTCTCAGACCTCACCAACTCAATGGATCCATGCTGAGAGCCCAGAGTAAGGGAGAGTGGAGCCTTTTATAGGTTTTAGAAAAAAGGTGGGGGAAGATACCGAAGATACATTTTGGTTGGTTCAAGGAGCCCGCGCGTGCCAACATAATTTTAAACTGATTGGATGTATAAGATGCAGCCCTGGAAGTTTCTTATTGGTAGGTGCTATTGTCAGGGCTGTGGAATGTGCTGACTGTTATCTGTGGGGCCAGGAGTCTCCGTTTTTACCTTATAGGGCAGTTTTCATGTCCGGGCTTGCTTAATCTATAGTTTCCTGGAAGGGGGGGGCGGATAGCAGGCAGGGGTCAGGGCATGTCTAGGCATGTCTAAAGCAGCAGCCAACATTTTACAGAAGCTAAAAGAGCAATTAGTGGGGGTTTGGAGGGATTGGGGGTAGCAGGTGAATGAATAGGGTCTCAGGGTCCTGCAGAGAAGGCCAAAGTGCAAGTTAGGCAGTGCTTTCAAACTCAGTAGTAAACTTGATCTGTAGAGTGAGAAGAGAAAACCTTAACAAACAGTCTAGCACCATCCTAGAGGTCCAAAAAATGTCCTAAAACCTAGAGTACCTGGGCACACAGTGAATGCTAGCATAGGCCTGAGCTAATAGTTTGTTCCTAGTCCTGGTTCTGCTCTGTTTACTCGAATGAACTGGAGATCATCCTCCTCTGAACCATGTGCAGTAAACAAACTTAAGGGCTGGGAAGATGGCTTTTTAAGAGTGCATTCTGTGCTAGGTGTGGTAGCCCACGACTTTAATCCCAGCACTCGGAAGGCAGAGGCAGGCAGATCTCTGAGTTCGAGGACAGCCTGGTCTATAGAGCGAGTTCCAGGCCAGCTGGGGCTACATCCCAGCTCCCATATGGAGGCTAACAACTGCCTGTAACTCCAGTTCCATTGCTTCTGGTGTGGCCTTCTGGCCTCTTTGGGCACCAGACATGCAGGTGGCAAGCACTCACATAAAATGAAAATAAATCTTAAAAAGAGAGAAATGGGCTGGAAAGATGGCTTAGCAATTAAGAGTACTGACTGCTCAGCACCCACATGGTGGCTTACAACCCTCCTTAACTCCAGTTCCAGAGGATGCCCTCTTCTGGCTTCTGTGGGCATTACACACACATGGTACACATACATGCAGGCAGAATACTCACACACATAAAATAAATTCAGATTTTAAAAAATATATATTTTATACTTTTCCACTTTTTAACAACTTGATGTGCAGTTATGTTTAGTGTTTTTCAGTCTGTACTTGGCAGAGTGTCCCTGATGTCAGTGCCAATTCTGAATGTGTGTGTCTCTGTTTCAGGTTCTGCCTTTCATATATCGGGCCATAGGTTCAAAGCATCTTCCTGCCAGTAATATAAGTTTCTTACATTTTGACTCACATCCAGACCTCCTTATTCCTGTGAATATGCCAGCAGACACCGTGTTCGATAAGGAAACACTGTTCGGGTAACATGCTTTTTGATAATGGTCTTTTTTTAAATGTTTCATTTATTTTTATGAGTGTTTTGCCTGCATGTATTTTAAGTGCACCACATGCATGCAATGCCCACAGAGGCCAGAAGAGGGCATCAGATCCCTTAGAACTAGAGCTACAAAAGGTTGTTAGCTGCCATGTCAATACTGGGAAGTGAACCCCAGTCTTCTGTAAGAGCAACAAATGCTCTTAACTGCTAAGCTGTCTCTCCAGCCCCCTCTCCCCTTTAAAAGTCTAGATAGTGAGGCACAAGAAAATGTGTCTTATCTGAACACAGTGCCATAATTGTATAAATGATATATCTTTAACTTACCTATCTTATCTAGGATTATGTCCTTCCTGCCTTTCAATATGCTTATTTTCAGGCCACATCCTGTTGATTTCAGTTTTATAAAATCATATAGATAGGGGCTGGAGAGATGGCTCAGCAGTTAAGAGCACACACTCTTGCAAAGGCTGTTCAGTTCAGCTCCCAGCACCTATAGCAGGTGACTCACAATCACATAACTCCAGCTCCAGCAGATCCAAACCCTTGTCTGGCCTCTGAGGGCACCTGCATTCATGTGCACAGACATACGTACCCATAAGTAAAAATAAAATAAATCTTAAAAATAAAATCATAGAGATAGAAGTGAAATTGATCGTTCATACTCTATCCTTCAGGAAGGATCATATATCTTCAAATAATGGCATTCTGGCTTCTATAATAAAGTTCCCTGAAATTCTGTCACTGCCTCTTCATACATCTAAATGTTAGCACATTACTTTTAGCCTACTACACATCCTTTAGTTGAACTTTTCTGAAACTCCAAATCAGGGAACTATTTGAAATGTGGTAGTTCTGCCATTTCTTTACAATCCTTATATTTACAAATTTATATTTTACAGTTTAGAAATTGAAAAAGAATTTAAAGCATGTATGCAGATGGTATACTCATCCTAAATGAACAGTTCTTAACTTTTTAGTATCCTGATTGTTTTCTCTGGTTTTGTTTTTTTACATAGGCCAGGCTGATTTTGACCTTACTATGTTGCTGAGGCTGACCTTGAATTCCTGATCCTCTTGTCTCCACATCCTTAAAGCTGGGATTGCAGGCATATGCCATCATGCCCAAGGGTCTCCTTAAAAAAAAATCAAACCTTAAAAAAAAAAGTGAGGGTTTCACTTTATTTGAATTTTTAGTTTTAAATACTCATTGAAGAATAATAAATCAGTATGTGTTTATATAAACAAGATACTGTAAAAACATTTCAAAAAAACTGTCAAGTGGGAAGAAGAGAACTGAGATTGTTTTAAAGAGATTATTTGCCTTTATAAGTGATAGGTGGGTCCTCATGTGTGCTTCTTTGTTTGATCTATTGCTATATGTTGTTTGGGTTGAAATATATGATGAAAATTCAGGCTTTCCCTACATGAAATCAGAAAATTAAAAGATATTTTCATTACCTTTTCAGATAATTCCACCCAATCTCTTTATCTTTTTTTATTTAATGTGTTTGGGTGTATTGCTTGCAAGTAAGTAGGCGCACCCATGTTGTGCAATACCCATGGAGGTCAGAAGAGGGCATCGGATCCCCTGGAACTGGAGTTATAGGTGGTGTTAGCCACCATATGGGTGCTGGGAATCAAACCCAGGTCCTCTGCAAGAGCAGTCAGGGCTCTTAACCACTGAGTCATCTCTCCAGCCCCCACCACAGGTTTTTTAAAGTTTGGCTGGAATGTAGAATCAACAATTCAGCCTCGTGTCTAAATAAAGTGATCTCTTGAGAAAAATGGTGCTTGGTTCACAAGTCAATCCCAGGTGCTTTTCCATTGTGTTCAGCAGTCAGTAGCAGAAGAGTTTTCTGTGTGCTCATCTTTTGCAACATGTAGTATTTAAAAATACCTTCTCAGGAGCAAGAATTAATAAAATCAAGAGCATTCTTACGTGAAGCTAGCTTTGGACAGTGGGTGTTAGTGTTTTGTAATGAAGCAAATGGTGACTTCTGGGAGACGTTAAGTGGCACTTGGGACACCAGCACACCTCTGCTTCTGCCTCATCAGTGCTCATTTTAATCCAGTAAGAGGGGACTAGCCTAATGTTTTCATGAAGATTGGCAAAGTAGGAGTCTCAGGAACCTCCCTGTGGCCACATTCTTGAGGTCTGCTGTCTTATTAAAATACTCTGGCTGAAATAACATTTAGAAAAATCATTCGTTTTAATAGTTGCAATGTTTTTGTTTTTTTCCAGAGAATTAAGTATTGAGAACTGGATTATGCCTGCAGTTTATGCTGGCCATTTTTCTCATATAATATGGCTTCATCCCACATGGGCTCAGCAAATCAGAGAGGGCAAACATCACTTTTTAGTAGGCAAAGACAATTCTACCACAACAATCAGGTAATTTCCTCAGTTTTGGTAAGTATGAAACGAGTTGATGCTTTTACCTTATTTTCCATTCCTATAATAGCTCCCTGATGTCTCCACACACAGAAGGTCCAGATTAAGTAAGTCCCAGTTCCTCCAAAAAGTGTATTTTTCTGATTGACTGGTTGATTGTTCTTTGTGGGGGGTTCTGAGACAGCTTCACCATATAGTCCTATTTGACCCAGAACTTGCTATACAGACTAGGCTGATCTGCCTGCCTCTACCCTCTTCAGTGCTGGGATTAAAGGAGTACACCACTCTGCTTAACTCAAAAAGAATTCTTGAAACACCAGAACAGATGCTTACATCTCTTGACTGCCTTCACATACCACTTAATATTTTGTTACTGGTTAAATTGTTTCTTGAATAACATTGTCTGGAATTTAGTTTCCATTGTTGTTTTGTTGTCTCCTTGTAGGCCCAGCTGGCCTGGACCAAGACCAGGTTGTCCTCAATCTCACAGAGATCCATCTGCCTCTGCTTCCCAAGTGCTCATCTACCATGTCATACCTGGCCCAATTCCATTGTTTTTTGAATAACATCCTCTGGAATTTGGATTTCATTGATGACTAACTTCATTAAGTCATTAAGTACCTTATAGATTTATATATTCAATAGGATGCTTTATATTTGCTTCTGATTCAGCTATTGTGTGTTGAATTTAACTTTTAGAAATGAGCCAGGCATGGTGGCACAGGTCAGTATTCACAGCATTTGGGAGGCTAGCATTGGAAAATGCTGAAAGTTTGAAGCCAGCCTGAGCTATAGAGTGAGACTTTTTTTCAAAAAATAAACATGAAAAAGGACAGGAGGTGTAGCTCAGTGATAGAGCACTTACCTAACATGTCTACAGCCCTGGGTTCAATCCCCAAGACTGAAAAAAAACTAAATTTAGCCATGAGTTGTGGCACATGCCTCCCAGAACTGGAACTGTAGGCAGAAAGATCTAGAGTTAAAGGTCATCCTCAGCCACACTGTGCACTTGAAACCAGCCTAGGCTACATTAGACCCTGTCCCAAAAAAAGAAAAAAGAAAAAAGAAAAAAAAAATCTCACTTTGTTCATGTTGTTTTCATTTTGATTAAATCCAGTGCCTGAATAAATAGATTTTAGGTTTTAATATTATTAATATGATTAGTTTGGGGGTACTTAGTCCAAGATAAATTATTGTACCCTCTGATGACATACATACATCTATTTTTATTGTATGCAATATTCAACCAATGTAATATATTTTGTGATTCTATAATGTCTTTAGAAATAACAGTCTCTTCTTTCTAGAGTCTCTTGTGATGGGATAAAATTTTTTCATTCATTTTCTAAATTTGAAGATTCCATACATGAATATACTATTTACATCATTTCTACCACCCCAAACTCCTCCCATGTCCTCCACACCGCCCCCTCTCAAATTCGTGACCTCCTTTTTTCTATATTTTTGTTTTATATATAGATACACACGCACACACACACAAAGCCTACTGAGTCCAGTTAGTGTTGCCTTTATTTGAATGTGTTAGAGCTAAGGGGTCTCTTCCTGGGAGGAGAGCTGGCTTTCCCTCCCTCAGCAGTCACTAACTGCCTACAGCTCTTCATATAGAGTATGACCTTGTGAAATTTTCCTCTATCCTTATTCTAATCAGTGTAAGCACAACTTTCTACAACCTAACAGATAGTGAAAATGTTACCCTTTCTGTTTCAGTTGTTGTAATAATAATGACTTTGATAGTATGTGTTCTTGTCATTTATAGAAATAATTTCATCATGATACATGACAATTGTCTCTATTATATAATTTCTTTATTTATGAGTGGTTTTTCTGTTGTTGGTTTGGGGGATTGGGAGGAGTTGAGACAGGGTCTCACTGGCTGTCCTGGACTCAATATGTAACCAGGCTGACCTTGAACTCACAGAGGTATGCCTGCCTCTGCCTCCTAAGAGCTGAGATTAAAGTCATATACCACCATGCCTGGCTATTATATAATTTAAAAGAAGTAATTAGAACTCAACGTAACAAAGATTGTGCATAATATTGGTCTATATGAAAGAATGAATTTAATACTTAAGTGAGTGAACCGAATTTAACCTGTAAAATTAAATCATTTTGTATGATCTGACTCAGATTTTTGTTGTTTGTTTTTGCAGACACAAAAAAAGGGTCTAGAGCTTACTGTGTTGTGTAACTGGGCTTAGACTCACAAAAATCCTTCTTGGGCTTCTCAAATGCTGGGGTTATATGTATGAGCCACTATGCTACTTTGATAAGAGTATATTATATGTGTATATGGGTTTTTTGTTGTGGTGGAGATCATTTGGTTTTGTTTTTTTCAATATACTTTTGATTTTTGTTCTTGGTAGTAGGTTTAATTTTGTTTGGGGTTTTATTTTATTTTGTTTTATGAGACAAGGTCTCACTGTATAGACCTTGATAGTCTTGTTATGTAGACCAGGCTGACCTCAAACTCAAGGAGTTCCACCTACATCTTCCTCTCAAGTACTGGGATTAAAGGTGTGCACTACCATGTCTGGCATGCTTTGGGTTTTCTTGAGGCATGACCTTATTCTAGCCCTGAATTTAGAATGTAGCTCAGCCGGACCACCATGCCCAGTAACATAAATATTTTTAGAAACTCAAAATATGATAACAGTATTGGAAGTATTTTGATTACATCATGATTTTAGATAATCCAACAAGTAAATTTGATGAAGAGCTTCATTGCATATAGTCATGAATCTGAGAGTATGTGTTTGCATGAATAGAAGCAAAGTAAAATTACCTTTATTAAAAAGAATATGAGGCTGGGACGATAGCTAAGTGGGCTAAGTGCTTGCAAACATGAGGACCTGGATTTGGTCCTCAGAACCTACATGAAGAAGCGAGGCATGGTAGCACATACTTCTAATGCCAGCACTGGAGAGGCGAAAACAGACCTCTAGGGTTCACTGACCAGCCAGCCTAGCCTGCTTTGCCAGCTCCAGACCAGCAGAAGATTCAGATAACAAGGTGGAAAATGCCTGAGAAATGGCACCCAAGGTTGACCTCTGGCCTGCACATGGATGCACACACACAGAGACATGAACCAACACAAACATACACACACAAATTATAAATTTAGGTTGGGGTTACAGTCTTTGTCTTCTTTAGGGTGTTGCAGTTTTCAACAAGCTTGGACTTTGTTTTTATTAAGTCATTAATCTTTTTTGTAAGCTGTCTTTTAATTTATAGCCACAGGGGTGTAGGCTCAGTTGATAGAGTGCTTGCCTAATATGCATGAAGCATCTAATTCAATCCCAGTACCACATATACCAGGCATGTTGGCACATTCCTGTAATCCCAGCATTCAGGAAGTGAAGACTTAGAGGATCATAAGTTCAACATCATCCTCAGCTATACAGCCAAGGCAAGACCAGTCTGGGCTATATGAGACCCTATCTCAAATAAATTTATAACTATATATGCTAGGTATGGACAGGTGGAAAATAAATTGTATTATATAAATTGTATTATTTTAATTTAGTAGAGTATGTCTCTGAAATATGTAATTTGGTTTTATTGTTCTAAGTACCCTCCAAGGCATAATATAAGAAAGCTGAGCTGTCTCTAGAATCAGAAATCTGATTGTGAACAGTCATCTGTGACTATCATCACAGCTACGAAGGAAACTGAGGCGAGAGGATTGGATCACTTGAGCCCTGGAATTGGGGACCAGAATAAGCAATGACACTCTATCTCTTTAAAAAAAAAAGTGAAATTGGGGCTGGAGAGGTGGCTCAGCAGTTAAGAGCACTTACTATTCTATCAGAGAACTGGAGTTTGTATCCTAGCACTCACATTAGGTGGCTCACAAACACCTGAAACTCCAGTTCCAGGGGATCTAATGCCCCGCTCCTCTGACTTCCATGGGCACTGCACTCACACACACAGACATACACATAAATTAAATTAAATAAATCTAAGGAAGGGAGGGAGGGAGGGAGGAAGGAAGGGGAAATCTAGTACACATAAAATTCATTCTATAAATGTGTGGATTGTTTTAAATTTCTTTTCATATTAAAAATACTATGGTTAGCCAGGCATAGTGATGCTTGTCATTAATTCCAGCACTTGAAGGCAGAGTCAGGCACATCTCTTATACGTTGGAGGCCAGCCTGGTCTACATTGTGAGTTCCAGGCCAACTGGGCCTATGTAGTGAAACCCTGTCTCAAAACAAACAAACAAGCAAAGCACCTACAGTTATGTAGTTTAAGTAAGACTATGAAATAGGTCAGAAGGAACTTCTATTAAGAGACATTATTTCAAGGGGCTGGAGAGATGGTTCAGTGGTTAAGAGCACTGGCTGTTCTTGCGGAGTACCCAAGTTTCATTCCCAGCACCCACATGGCAGCTAACAACCATCCTTAACTACAGTTCAGGGGATCCTACACCCTCTTCTGGCCTCTGCAGGCATTGCACTAACAAGTACATGGACTTACATGTAAAACACTCCTACACATAAATAAAAATAAAATTTAAATGAAGAGAAATTATTTCTAGTTACAGTTTTTCTCTTAAGGATTTTTTGTTTATTTGGGTAAAGATGCAACCAAGATGAAAGAAACCAAAGAAATACCATATTAAGTAAGAAAGTTTATTTTTTTCTAATGTTGGCGTTTACCACACACTACATAAGCCTATGTGGCAGCTCTTCAATTTGAGGAAGCTACTTCCTTCTTTCTTTCCTTTTTCTTTCTCTCTCTCTCTCTCTCTCCCTCTCCCTCTCCCTCTCCCCCTCTCTCTCTCTCTCTCTCTCATAGCCCCAGTTGACCTGGAACCCTATATAGATCAGGCTGGCCTCCAAGACCCACCTGAATGCTGAGATTAAAGTCAGCCCTTTTTTCTTATTTTTTTTCTGACCAGAACTTCTCAAGCGACCACATCTAGCTACACAGTAGACTACAAAAACAGTGTCGTCTTTACATTGGGCATTTGAGTACCCACTATGGATTTGGAGAGTGCTGTTTCTATAGAAGAGGAAGCACAAATGCTAAAGAAATTCCCCCGTTTTTGTCAGACATACCTTATTCTACAATGTGATCATTTGCATGTTTTTTACAATTTTTTTTTCCTTTTGATCCAGAGTTTCAAGCACAGATTATTACTTCCTAAGTGATGGCCTTTTTGTACCTGAAGACCAGCTAGAGAACCAAAAACCATTACAGTTGGATGTGATTGTGGTAAAACCTTATAAACTCTGTAACAGTCGAGATGAAAATGACTCTGTGTCTTCTGCAAAGAAGCCCAGGCTAGTACTAGAAGATAGCGAGAATGCTGCTGCCGCTGACCGGACCTCTTCCTCAGCAGGACTGGGGAAGGACGCAGTGACACCAAGTGACCCTGCATGCCAAGAGCCATCATGCTTGTGTTCTTCCGGAAGTCATAGTGCTGCTAACACTGAGGAGATTCTAGAGATTTTGAAAAATGGAGATGCGTTCATTTTAGATATTGACTTGGATTTTTTTTCCGTCAAAAATCCCTTCAAAGAAATGTTCACTCAGGTAAACATGGTATTTTGCAAACATAGCTCTTGAATTACATGCATTTCTCTGTATCAAGAAGCTTTCCACGAACAGCCAGATGCTGATTATTGTAGGGTTAGAGGCTACTTCTCTGCCACATTCTTCTGTTCTTCCCAGTTTTTTAAAGTTATACACAAGTTGAACATTTTCCTAATTTAAAATTCCTGAATGTAAATGCTCCCAAATCCAAAACTTTCTAAGTACCATGATGAGTGTGCCCATAAATACCATGCAGATAGTCCAAAATCAGAAAAACCCTGGAATCTAAGAGAATTTCTGCTTCCGAGCAATTCAGATAAAGGATATTCAACCTGCGTTATACTTTATAACTTAATAGTTTTCAAAAAATGTAGAGAGGCACATGCCACAGTGCGCATGCCATGGCACAGGTGTGAAGGTCAGAGGACAAGCGAGAGATTTCTCTCCTTTCACCATGTGGGACACAGAAATCAAACTCAGGTCAGCAAACTTGGTGTAAAATGTCTATCCTCTGAGCCATCTTGACAGCCCAGATATCAATATAGCTATATATATATATATATATATATATAGTTGGGTGGGTGGATTGGTTGGTTGGTTGGGGTACAGGGTCTCACTATGTAGCGCTGGCTGGCCTGGAACTTGCTATGTATATCAGGCTGACCTTGAACTCATAGTGATCTGCCTTCGGCTATATTTTTAATAAGAAAAAAAAGATAATAGAGCCAGGCATGGTGGCTTTTTTTTAATGGAGGGAAAGGCAGGAGATCATGAGTTCAAGGGCAAGACCATCATGGGGTCATCTTGGGAGAGGTGCTTTCCCCTCTGACCTGAGTTTCTTCAGGTATAAAGTAGAAGAAGAAATCATTCACATCATGCTGAGGGTATACCTCAATGGAGGTACAGAACACTTGCCTAACATGCACAGGGTCCTGGGTTCAACCCCTAATACTGCAAAATAAATAAATAAATGAATAAATAAATAAATAAAGCAAGCAAGCCCCAGCTCATAGGATTGAATCAGTAAAACATTGAAGACATGTGCCTAATAAATTTATCTCTTACCTGGAAGTGCTGAATAAAACAGTTAAGCCATGGACTGGAGAGATGGCTCTTCAGTTAAGAGCGCTGGCTGCTCTTGTAGAGGACCCAGGTTCAGTTCCCACTACCCACGTGGCAACTAACAACTGTCTATAACTCCAGTTTCGGTGAATCCAGTGCCCTATTCAGGACTCCCCTGGCATTGCATGCATGTAGTACATGTAACATATGTGTATACAGAACACCGATGTGCATAAAATAAAAATAAATGAATCCAAAAAATTGTTTAAAATTGAAGCCAGATGCATCCTCCTATGTATAGAGCTATGTAGTTGTGCTAAATAAGGGGAAATTCTCCTTCAAAGTCTGGGTATAGTAGGACTTTCTTCTTGTATAGCATCTCTTTAGAGATTTGTTTTTTTAATTTTTAAAAAATTGTATGAGTGTTTTACCTGTATATATGTAAGTATACAACATACGTACAATGCCTGCCAAAAGAGGGTTTTAGGTCCCCTGGAACTGGAATTACAGTTGGTTGTTAGCTGCCATATGGATTCTGGGAATCAAACCCAGGTCTTCTGAAAGAGTAGCCAGTGTTCTTAACTACTAAGCCATCTCTCCAGCACCCTCCCCCCCTTTTTTTAAAAAAAGACAGGGTCTCCCTGTAGCCTCAGCTGGCCTGGAACTCACTATGTAGACAAGGCTGGCCTCAATCTCATAAATATCCAAGTTCTGGAATTAAAGGCATGCATCACCACACCTGGCCAGCCCCTTTATTTTTAGTTATGTATGTATGTGTATGCATTTGTACATGTATCAATGCCCATCAAGGCAAGAGGGCAACAGATCCCCTCCAGCTGGAGTTACAGGTGTTTGTGAGCCGCTTGATATGGGTTCTGGAAACCAAACTCGGGTCCTGTGGAAGAGCAGGAAATGCTCTTGTCCCAAGCAGTCTCTCCAGCCTTGAGTAGCATCTCTTAACTCAGGTTCTGTGTCTGCCACTCTTGCCAGCACTGCCTTTGTGCTCCAGAGGTCTCTTGCACAGTACACTTGGGGAATTTTTTGTCATCTCCTATAAACTGCTAAAGTCTATTTAGAGCTTAGGATAGTGGGATAGTATCAGACATACTTTCATGGCCTGTTAGTCTATTAGCTAATGTTTTATACTTTGTTACGCCCAACTGTATTGAGTTGCACTGGAAAAAGTAAGTTTACACTGGAAATCTGAGGTAAACATTGTGTTGGATTCTCCCAGACAAATCTTTATCTATATCTAAGATGTTTTCCTTGTATCACAGGTATATCATTGAAAACTCTTATCCTTAGACTTTTGTTTGTTTGTTTCATTTTATAGGAGGAGTATGAAATTCTACAAGAGCTTTACCAATTTAAAAAGCCTGATAGTAACCTAACTGAGGTATACAACTTCTGCTTCTTCTGAGTTTTACCTATCACTGAAAAAATCTTGCTGTTGTTTTTTAGGTTGTTTGCCTGCTTATTTGAAGATAGAATCTTTTAGGTAGTCTGTGCAGCCCTGATCGGCCTCAAACTCAGCCTCCTGAGTGCTGGGATTACAGGAGGGAACTACCTTGCCTGTCCCTAATAATCCCTTATAGCTTATTTGAATGCTTTCAGCTGTCTAAATTATTTTTGTGCATAATATCTATTTGCATGTACATGAATGTTTCTTGGTGTATTCCCCAGTTAGTACTTGGAAGTCATTTTTAACAAGTGAACTGATATTTTCATTATAATAGTATTTTACTTGTTTTTTGAAGGAATAACTATGTAATCTCAGCTTTTCAATGTATTTAAAGGAAGATTTGGTAGATATTGTTGATACTCGAATTCATCAGTTAGAAGATTTAGAAGCCACTTTTGCTGATCTGTGTGATTGTGATAATGAAGAAACTGTACAGAGATTGGCTTCAAACCCTGGGTAAGATCCCCCTAGACTTTTTCTTCCCCAAATTATGAATTATCAGCCTTAAATATATTCCTGTTTGTTAAACAAATTGCTCTTTAAAAATTAGTATTAAGCCGGGTGTGGTGGTGCACATCTTTAGTCCCAGCACTCTGGAGGCAGAAGTAGGCAGATCTCTGTGAGATCAAGACCAGCCTGGTCTACATAAAAATAAAAGTTAGTATTAAAGCCTAGGAAGATGGCTCAATCTGTTAAGTGTTTGCTGTACAAGCATGAGGACCTGAGTTCAGATCCCTAGCATCCATGTAAAAAGCCAGGGAGACGGGAAGAGTCCTGGATCTCACTGGCTGGCCAGCCTAAGCAAATTGGTAAGCACCATGTTCAGTGAAAGAGCCTGTCTCCAAAAATAAGGTGGATAATGACTGACGAAGATGCCCAGTGTTGACTTTTGGCCTCCACCCACACATACATGCACACACACACACACACGAGCATGTTACGTGTACATACACCAGTCACACTCATACAATCATTTTTTTATTTAAAAAAAATAGTATTAAACTGGGAATGATAGTACATGTCCATAATTCTAGACTTGAAAGTCAGAGGCAGGAGAATCAATCCTAACTCAAGGCCAGTCTAGTCTACATAGTGAGTTCTAGGCTAGCCATGGCTATACAGAGCAAGACCCTGTGTCAAAAACAAGCAGAAAATAGTAATTAAATAAAAAGTAGCACAAATTTTAACACTTATGAATAGTATTTGAGTGTTTTTTATGTAATCCTTATCTAAGGATTTAGAGAGGCAGGATGAGTTAGTTAGAAGCCAACTGTGCTGGATAGCTTTAGTGTCAATTTGACACATGTGGGTTGAGGGAGCCTCAACTGGGGAATTGCCTCTATTGGACTGTCCTGTGGCCATGTCCATGGGGTACCTTCTTGATGAGTGATGTGGGAGGGCCCAGTCCACTGTGGGTGGTGCCACCCCTGGGCAGGTGGGCCTGTGTTGCTTAAGAAAGCAGGCTGAGCAGGAACCAGGGAGAAAGCCAGTAAGCAGCATTCCTCCATGCCCTGTGCTTCAGCTCCTGCCTCCAGGTGCCTGCCCTGAGTTTACTACCTTGGGCTCCCAGATGAACTGTGACCTGGGAGATGTAAGCTGAATAAACACTTTTCCTCTCCAAGTTGGTAGTGGTCAGAGTGTTTTGCCACAGCAATAGAGAAACAAACTAGGACACCAACCTTGATTGTATTTGACCCTGTCTCAAAAAAAAAAACAATAAAAATAGGTGGGCATGGTGGTTGCAACCCTCTTTAATCCTAGCCTGGGGTGGCTGGGGCAGATAGGCAGATAGATGTCTGTGAGATGGAAGCCTGGTCTAATAGCTACATAGCAAATTCCAGCTGGAGCTACAAGAAAACTGTATCTCAAAAAAAAAGAAAACATAAATAAAAATAAAAGATGGTGTTTAAACAACTTTATCTTTCAGTTCTCAAGCAGTGAAGGAAGCATGTTTCCATGGTAGAGCTCTATTTTTTTCATTATTAATATTTTTGTATGATGCTGGGAATTGAACCGAACCTTGTACATGCTAAGGAAGTACTCCTCTAGTGAGCTTCCCCCAACCATCTATGGTAAAAGTTATGTGTAATATGCCATTTGCTACTATGATTTTAGTTGAGATTTTTGTGTTTAATTGACTGGGGTGCCTTTTTTTCAGAATGCAATCACTAGTTCCGCTTGTACAGAGTTTGAAAAAACGGATGGAAGCACCAGACTATGAAATGGTAAATATTTTATCATTATAAAATTGACACTTTATATAGGGAATTTTCTGGGTGAAATTTTTGTTATAATGGCTCATTTTGTTCTTGTTGCTGAAGTCTGAATGAATTATTTAAAAAGCAAATGAGTTTAAAAATAAAACAATAGGGCTGGAGAGATGGCTCAGCGGTTAAGAACACTGGTTGTTCTTGCAGAAGACCCGGGTTCAAATCCCAGCACCCACATGGCAGCTAACAATTGTCCATAACTCCAGTTCCAGGGGATCCGACAGACTCTTCTGTCCTCTGCGGGCATTGCATGACATGGGTACACTACATGCAGGCAATACAGGCATACATATAAAATAAAAATAATTAATAAAATATTTTTTAAAAAGTACATACTTTTTAGAAACTAAAATTTTTAAAATACTTTCTAGGAAAAACATTCTTATTTCATGTAAGAAGCAAAGGTACTCTTTTTGCTGTCACTGCTGTTGTTTGGAGCATGGTCTTGTGTGTCCCAGTAGCCAAGACTAGCCTGGAATGCCTGATCCTCTTGTTCCACCTACCAAGCTCTGGGATGTTAGGAATGCTGCATTGTGCCTGACTCTTCTTTTCTCGTTTCTTTTGTTTTCTCTTTGTTGTGGTTGTTGATAATCAAATCTGACTTCACCAGCAAAGACTGAGTCCACAGTTTCTAATTCTGTCCACTCACTGATTCTCAATTATGCTCTTTGTCCTTTTATTTCCTTTCTCTGAAAAGTTATCTGATCATAAAACCTGAAGGAGATGTGTGTCTAGTGCATTTTGAATGCATCTTTGTTGCTTGTGTATAGTGATCTAAATGGTACAAAGATACTTTTAAACATGATTTCTAACTTACAGCTTTACAGTCCTTAAAGCATGTATTTTTCCCTTCTCCAATATTTGCAAAAAGTGAAGCTTTAGAAGTTCAAGTGAAGCCAGGTGTCCTTGCACATGCTTCCCATACTCTGGAGGCTGAGGCTGCAGCAGCAAGTTCAAGGCCAGCCTGGGCTACATAGTTCCTTCAAAGCCAGGTTGGGCTACCACAGCCAGACCCTGTCACAGAAATCAGAACAAAGTTTAAGTGACTTCTCAGATTTTTTTTTTGCCAGAGCTGAGACTTGCAAATCTTCTGCCTCTGAGTTGGTGCTTCCGTCACGTCAGTAGGAGGTGTTTCAATGTTTCCTTTGGTTGTAGAATGCAGTCAGACCACCCTATTTGAACAGATATTTGTGAACTTAATCTTCAAGTTACAAGACTAAAAAATCACAGCAAAAGAATATCATGATTAATGCTGGGTAGCCCAAAACTTCCTCTTCTTTACAAAGAAAAAAAAAAAGAAATGGCATTTGGTAAAAATGGTAGGTAGCTGATACTCAGGTTTATAAATGTTTTGAGCTCATGATATAACCACTTATGTCTTCAGGTTAAGTATGCTTGAAACATTCTTTGATGGAGGGCTCCCTTTTTGAAAAAAATGCTTATTATTTTTATTAGTGTGTGTGTATGTGTGTATGTATATAAGAGACAGAAAGAGAGACATGGGGGAAGGTTTATTCATGTAGCACATATGTGGAGGTCAGAGGATTTGGGTTCTGCGAATTGAACTCAAGTCAACAGGCTTATATAGCAAGCATCTTTTACTCTCTGAGCCTACCAGCCCCATCCACCTTTATTTTTTTGAGACAAGATGTCTCGTTGAACTTGAAGCCCATCAGTTCAGCTTGGCTGGCTGGGATCTGTCTATCTCCATTAATTCAGATCCCTGAAGCTCATCAATTCAGCTTGGCTTGAGCTTCAGGAACTGTCTCCAACCCCCCCCCAACAAGAATCTTTGAAAATGACAGTCTTCCAGTGTCATGTTTTAGAATCTTTTCGTTTGCTTTCAGTACTTGGGATTGAACCCAGGGCCTTGTCAAGCATGCTAGGCACTATACCACTGAACTATAGCTCCAGCTCACAATGTCACTTTTAAATTTTTACTTTCAGGTTCACCAGGCTGGTCTAACTTGCGATTATTCAGAACTTCCTCATCATATCAGCACAGAACAAGAAATTGAGCATCTTATCCAGTCTGTGTATTATTTACTAAAAAATTTACCAAAACCTACTCTTGTAACAATTGCAAGGTAAGTATGGTAGGCTGAGTAACAGCCTATTAAAGGTGCCTGTGTCCTAAGCTCTGAAACCTGTGAACATATTGTCTTTATATGGCAATAGGAACTCTGCGGTGTGATTAACGGAAAGATTTTGAATGAGATTATCCTGAATCACCTCTGTGGGACCTGTATTGTCACAAGAGTCCTGGTAAAAGGTAGTCAGGAAAGTCAGAGAAAGAGTGCTTGAAAGATGCTCTACCACCAGCTTTGAACATGGAAGATGGGGCTATAAGCAGAAGGAAGGCAGCCTCTAGAAGCTAGAAAGGCCAGAGACCAGATTCTCCCCTAGAACTATAACGTAAGCTAAAATGTCCCCCCAGAAAAAAAATGGTTTATCACTAATGTGAGGGCTTAGTGAACATTTAAATTTATGTAGGACATGGGGCTAGGGAGATGGTGTATTAGTTACTTTTCTGTTGCTGTGATTAAAACACCATGACCAAGGCAACTTATAAAAGGAAGAATTTATTTGGCTTATGGTTCCAGAGGGGTAAGAGTCCATTATGGTCAGGGAGGCATGGTGGCAGAAGGTGGCTGGACCAGAAAGCCAAGTGATTATATCTTCAGGCAGGCACAGGAAGCAGAGAAAGCCAGACTAGAAGAGGGCATGACTATGTACTCTTAAAGCCTGCCCCCAGTGATGCACTTCCTCCAGCATGGCCACACCTCCTAAAGGTTCAATGACCTTCCCCAAACAGCACCATGAACTGGGGACCAAATCTTCAAATACTTGGAGCCTATGGGGGACACTCATTCAAACCACTACATATGGTTCATGAGTAAAGTGCTTGCCATACAAGCATGAGGACCTTAGTTTGTAAAAGCCCAGTGCAGCAGTTTACCTCTGTCACCTCAGTGCTAGGGGAAAGTGGAGATAGGTGCATGACTAGAACTCACTAGCCAGTCAGTAACTTCCAGGTTCAGTGACGAGAGTCAAAAAATAAGATGGCCAGCAACAAAAAGTATGTAAGGGGAGCTAGAGAGAGGGCTCAGCAGTTAAGAGCACTGGCTGCTCTTGCAGAGGACCCAGGTTTGGTTCCCAGCACCTACATGGCAGCTAACAGCCATCTGTAACTCCAGTTCCTAGGGACCCAACACTCTCTTCTGTCCTTAACAGGCATTGCATGACACAGGTGCACTTACATACATGCAGGCAAAACACTCATACACATAAAAGACTGTACAGTGTGAAGGACATGGATAGTGTAAGACTGTCTTGCACATTGCAAGCATTCTAACAGTCAGCTGTCTTGTCCTTAGTCCTTTGAATGTCAGTAGCATTTCTATAGTGATTATGACAATCAAAAAATGTACCTGTACATTTCCAAAACAGCCTTTTGGGATATCCCCATCAAAAGCTATTCTAGCTGGGCATAGTGCCATGTGCCTTTAGTCCCAGCACTTGGGAGGGGGGTAGGCAGAACTCTATGATATCAAGGTCAGGCTGGTCTACATAATGAGTTCCAGGCCGGCTGGGGCTACATGGAACCTGTCTCAAACAAAAAACAACAAAAAACTATTCTGTTTGTAAGCAGCGATCTTTTTAAAACAATGAAAACTTACTTGTTAATGCTTATAAAAGAAGATCTTACATACTTTTAAGTTCCTTATCCATATCTATATAGTAGTACTTAATGATTTAACATGCTTTTTAAAAAATATTTATTGTGGGACTGGAGAGATGGCTCAGGTTAAGAGCACTGGCTGCTCTTATAAAGGACCCAGGTTAAATTCCCAGCACCCACATGGCCACGAACAACCATCCCTAATTCCAGTTCGAGAATCCAGTGCCTTCTCTGACCTCTGTAGGCATTGCACGGCATGGGCACTTACATACATGCAAGCAATACACTCATACACATAAAATAAAAATAATTTTTTTTTTATCTTTGTGAGACACAGTCTCCTTGTAGCACAGCTAGCCTGGAACTCACTATGTAGACTAGGCTAGTCTTGATCTCACAGAGACCCTCCTGCCTCAGCTTCCTGAGTGCTGGGATTAAAGTATACACCACCACACCCAGCAGTAAATTTTTTTTTTAATTATTATATCTTAAATAGGGGTGGGGAATTTGAAAAAGAATCTCTTAAATTCAGTCTCCTGCCTCAGCCTCCCAGTGCTGAGATTACAGGTGTTATCATCTCAACCATGCCAAGCTTGTCTGTTCAATTTTTACAATTTTTATTTTCACATTTTATGATAAATGTTATAATTTTTACACCTCAAAAGTAACCTACTCCTCTGTGGTTTTCCTTGTTGGAGAACCAGGAGACACTGATCAAATCTCAGTTCACATCATTTTTTTTTTTTTTTTTGCGAATTTTATACATCTTGATTTAGACCCCCACCCCCACCCCACACCATTTTTCATGTATTCTGTCATGTGTGTTAAGGCCTATTGAGCCACATTTGTGTCCCCATCTGTTGTGCCAAATCTTCCCCTGAAAGACACGGGCACACTCTCTGGGATCCCAGGACCATGCGGTCCTAATGGAGACTGACAAAGACTCGATACATTCTATTTGGGTTTTTGTCTAGTTTATGACATCCAGGAAAGGGTTACTCACAAAGGCATGATTGCCCTTAGGCCCTGTTTTTACATCTCAGCTAAGCTTTGAGATCTGCCACCCGCCAGCTTCCTGTCAACTGTCCACGCCAGGTTAGGAACTTTTTCCCAGAGTTCTTAGTGTCTGTCCTTAGACCTTCCCCCTCATGGTGATTGGGTGGGAGGAGTGACTTTCTCGAGGAAATGCCTGCCCAACACCATCAGCTCACATCTTAGTCCTCCTGTAATTGGCAGTAACATTTTGTTTTTATATGTATGTATGTGTGTATGCCGTGTGTGCAGGTATGCGTGGAGGCCAGAAGACATCAAATCCTCAGAAGTTAGGGTTATATGTGGTATAAGCCTCCAGCTGTGGGTGCTGGAACTGAACGCAGGTTCTCTGATAGAGCAGTAAGTACTCTTGACTGCAAAGCCATCTTTATAGCCCCTGGCAGTAACATTTAAACTGTACAGTACAACTCCAGTTGTCCTTACCGAGTTCTAGAAAAAGTCCTAAAGTACAGATAATGTCTCACTCCACTTGGCTCCTTTCTCCTTTATACTGTCTAGAAAACTTAATTTGAACATATTTAATTTTGAGCCAAGCCATGGGTCCTTTACACTTATAGAGTTAACAAACTGGTATTCGAAATAAAATCCTTGCATCTGTTGAAACGCTTTTACTCATTTCAGTCTTTGTGTACATATAATAAAAGAATGAGAAAGCTGCCCAGTCACTAAGATTACCCACATTCCCAGGCAACCTCTTTTCAGGGAAGAATAACAGCAGTCCAGCCCTGAGGTTCATACTAGACCTGTGGCCAGCATGTAATAACTATATAACCTTGCACACATTAGTCCTTGTTTAGATTCCTTTAAAGAAGTGGTAATTCTGGGGCTGGAGAGATGGCTCAGAGGTTGAAAGCACTGGCTACTCCTGTAGAGAACCTGGGTTTGATTCCCAGCACTCACATGTTGTCTAACAGCTGTTCATAACTCCAGTTCCAGGGGATCTGACGCCCTCTTCTGGCCTCTGTGGACATTGCACAACATGGGTGCATTTATGAACCTGCAGGCAGTACACTCATACACATAAAATTTTTTAAAAGATGGTAGTTCTATGAGCCAGGCAGTGGCACATGATGATAATCCCAGCATTCAAGAGTCAGAGGTATGTCGGGCATGGTGGCGCACACCTTTAATCCCAGCACCCTGGGAGGCAGAGGCAGGTGGATCTTTGTGAGTTCCAGGCCAGCCTGGTCTCCATTAGTGAATCCAGGCCAGCTGCGGCTACAGGGAGATCTTGTCTCAAAAAGACCAAAAAAAAAAAAAAACAAAAAACAAAAAACCAGAGGTAGAGGCAGAAGCAGAGGCAGGAAGATCACAAGAAGTTTAAGGTCACCTGATCTTTATAACTAGTACAAGACCAGTCAGGTCTACATAGCCACATCCTATCTCAAAAAACAGTATAATAAGAGAAAGATGGTAATTGTGCCTATCTTATAGAATTGCTTTTTCAAAAAAATAATAAAATAAAGAACAGTTCTTGTAAAGCATCTGAGTTAGGGTAAACATAAAACAGCCTTCAGCTGTTGCTCCAGAGTTAGCACCCGAGTTTGTTTTTGACGCTGACAGGAGGCGTGCAGGCTTTCCTCTGCACAGTGTGAGTTTATCCTACTCACATGTTTTTTCCTTCTTTTCTCTTGGGTCCAGGTCAAGTCTGGATGATTACTGTCCTTCTGAACAAGTTGACACCATTCAGGAAAAGGTCCTCAGTGTGCTGCACTCACTCTACGGGACTCTGGACACTCACCTGATGTATTTAGCAGACTCTCCTCCGTCTTGAAACAAAGCAATAGTCTCCTATGCATTTTGGTATGGAAACAGGGCTTTCATTAATTTATTTGTGAATTTTGCAGAGAACACTTTTTATGCTAACTTCCTGTTGAAATTTTTCAGATTTTTTGAATCTAGATATCAGTTCTTGAATAGTGGCAATTGGGCTAGAGATGGGGCTGCTTCTTTGGTTTTTTTGCATTTTTTTTTTTTTTTTTTTTTTGGTTTGAGACAGGGTCTCACTGAGACCCTGGCTGACCTAGAACTCACTATGTAGACCAGGCTGGCCTTGAACTCACGTAGGATCCACATGTCTCTTATCTCGAGTACTGGGATTAAAGGTGTCTGCAGCCACACCCGGCCTTGTTTCTTTGTTTTGTTTTGTTTTGTTTTCTTGTTGTTTTGTATCAAGTCTACTAACCCCAGTTGATGGAGACTGTTGGTTAGCTTTCTTGCTTTCCATCACTGTCTTCATTTTTATGAGGGATTTTTTTTCCCCCACTATATCATTTGGACTTTGTGAGATTTATTTATTCACTCAGCAAATATTTATTAAGCACTTAAATATTCCAGACACTATTAAATGCTGGGTATATGGCAATGACCAGAATAAACTAAATACCATCCCCCTGGAGACATCTGAGAAACAAATAATGATCTGTGAACAGTGAAGGGAAGAAAGGAAACCACATGTGTCAGGCCTGCTCATAGTTCTCAGGATACCCTGTCCTTATAGAAAAGTTACATTCTCAAAAGTACTGAAAGAGAGGAAAAATATCCTTGGCGATCCATGAAAATGTTACAGGAAGTATGCCTGCCCAAGGATGTTGGCATTGTGGCCAGGCTTTTGTTAAATGTTCCTCAGCACTGTTTTAGTCACAAGGTCTGGTTAAATAAACTTGACCAAAGTTTCCCTTTTTGTTCCTCTTTGTTGTTTTTGGTCATTGGAAACACCTTTCAGTTTTGTGCTTCAGATGATCATTGTGAGCATCAGTTGACACTTAGTCTCCAAGTGTCACTTTATTGGCCATCAGGGTGAAGGGGCTGAAGAGATGACTCAGTGGTTAAGAGTACTTGCTGCTCATGCAGAGGGCTGAGATTTGGTTCCCAGAACCCACATCAGGCAGCTCACAGCCTCCTGTAACTCCAGCTCTGGAGGTCTTCTCTGGCCTCCCAGCACCAAATATCCACAGGCTTATACAGAAATAAAAATAAAAATAAATCTCTTTTAAAAATCAAGGTCAATAACTTTTCAGGTAAACCAACTTTTTGTGTAAAAAGCAGGAAAGAGCTGATTGGTGCCCTGACATAAATACCCAAGGATACAGCTGTCCCCCACCAGCCTCCTTTGTAATGTAACTGAACACTATAGAGTCTCCCTCCATGAGTGCAAAGCTGGCAAGCACAACTAGGAGATATAAGAATGAACAGTTTATTACTTGAACTAGTCAGGAGAGCATTGGAGAGATTTCCCAAAGTAGTATCTTTCTCCAAGTAAAGGAAGGAAGGGGATTTTATTGGGAAGACTGGTGTGCATTCTCACTGACAGACTTGCATGTCGAGATAGTGATCATGATTCCTGTATTGCATGCTGGAAGATGATAGACAGGATGCCTCTGGAGCAGAGAATTTAGCATCATATCAAGCCAAGTTTGCTCTAAGTGACCCAGAAGAGTGGCGAGGCTATTTTGACTAGATTAAACTTGTTGAAGGGAGAGGAAGTGCTTGAAGCCATGTGCCATCTTCTCCCTCCCCTGCTTCAGACACCAGTGTGTAATCCTGAGCTCCTGCGTAGCTAACCATGCATGAGATAGTCCCTGAGATGCTCTCCATCATGGGAGTTGCTGTTTTCTAGATTTGTCTTTTTTCCATCCTTCAGTTTGCTTTTGTTCAGTCACTATTTTTAACTACCTAATTTCTTTGCTTTCTTTACATGCCTAATTAATAAAATATCTGTGAGTCCTGTCTTGGCATAGCGATTGTTTTTATTTTTGCAGGTCACTCTCAGCCCTCATCTGCAGGTGTCCCTGGAGAGTTGTAGCTCAAATCAGAATGGTATTGAATTGGGGCAAATACTCCAGGACACATTACCATTCTCACACAGTAGATGGCACCATGTTCCATTTTTTCCAATGATCCTATTTTCTTCCAATGAATTTTTCTTTTCATGAAATTGACTTCCAAACTATGTAAACCAAAACTACCTAGTTTATCTTTCTATTTTAATATAATGTTTATGCCCAAAAGGTTTATGTTCTTGAAAATCAGAATTGCAAAACTGTGCTTTTTTTTAATTTTGAAAATTTCCTGTTAAGAGTTCTATAATAGACATTTGTGAGTAAATTATTGTATATACTAAATTAAATTAAAATATATGTTTGGAAATTTTATGGATTTTAAATCAAACTATAGTACTAATTGTTCCTCCTTTTCATCTTTTTGAGACAGGTCTCCCTGTAGCCCCGTGTCCTAGTTTGTTTCTTCATGCTGTGACAAAATACTCTGACCAATACCAACTTGGGGAGAAAAGGGTTTATTTGTCTTACATCTCCCAGGTCACAGTTCATCAGGGAGCCCAAGGAAGGAGCTCAGGGCAGGAACCTGGAAGTAGGAGCTGGAGCACAGGCCATGGAGGAATGCTGCTTACTGGCTTGCTCCCCTGACCCCTGATCAGCCTGCTTTCTTATGCAAGAGATGCCCACCTGCCCAGGGGTGGCACTACCCGCAGTGGGCTGGGCCCTCCCACACCCCTCCACAATCAAGAAGGCCCCACAGATATGACCACAGGCCAGTCCGAGGCTCTCTCAACCCAGGTGTATCAAGTTGACACTAAAGCTATCCAGCACACCCCAGCTGGCCTGAAACTAGCTATGTAGACAGGGTTGGCCTTGAACTCAACAGAGATCTGCCTGCCTCTGCCTCCTGAGTGCTGGAACTAAAGGCATGCACCACCACATCTGGTTTGATTTTGAGCTAATTTTTAAAAAATATTTTATTATTTTTATTTTATGTATATGACTATTTTGCCTGCATGTATGTAAGTGCACTGTGTGCATACAATGCCCAAAGGTGCCAGGTGAGGGTATCTCATCAGGAACTGGAGTTGGCGAACAGTTGTTTGCCAACATGTGGGTGCTAGGAATCAAACCCAGGTCTGTGGAAGAACAGCCAGTACTCTTAACCACTGAGCCATCTCTCCAGCCCCCATTGAGCTAATTTTTTAGTAATGAACTCTAACGTGATTCATCATTTTTTTAATTAGGTTAGATAAAAGTGTATCAGTCAGCCAGGCATCATAGTGTACACCTGTAATCCCAGTACCCAGGAGGCTGAGACAGGAGGATTTCTGTGAGTTCAAGGCCAGCTCCAGCTATATAGTGAGTTCCAGGCCAGCCCCTAGGCTGTATAGATAGATCCTATCTCAAACAAACAAACAAAAAAAGTGTGTCATTTCCCTTATAGGAATCCTCAGAATATTTTAGTTATTAAGCCCTGTGGTTTTCTCCTGATATATTCGGTCCCTGCTTACTGAATAAAATCAAATTAGTAAATATGTATCTGCACATTCTGAATAGTAAGATGTTATGTTCTAAATGCCAGTGAGGAAATACATTTACAGATACCATTCAAACATGAGGATATTGGCTCCTGGAGAAGTGTGATTTAAATATAAGCATAGGCTTTAATTTGGGTTATTTTGGGGGGTTTTAGGAGATTATTTTTGTTTCTTTGGGGGTTTTGTTTTTTTGAGGAAGGGTCTCACAACGTAGATCTGGCTGGCCTGGAATTCATTATGTAGAACAAACTGGCCTCTTAACACTTAAAGACCTTTTGAAAACCATGGAAACCGACTATAGAAGCTCTCTAAAATATATACATATACATGTATAAAGAGTTTATACATGTATAAAGAGTTTATACATGTATAAAGAGTTTAAATGGACTTACCCTATACTGGGGAAACAATACCCCAACTAGACACCTCATCCTAGCAAATAAAAACCCCAGTACCAAGACTAGGTTACCTCTCTTTGAGTTGTTAGCCAGTGGGATACCATAGACCACCCCCCCCTCCAAAACATAGGCTATTGCCATTGCTCTTGGTTACCCTCCAGAACTTGACAGTAAGACCCTATTTTTGAAGGTGACAGAAACTTGTGTCATAGAACATGGAGAAATCAGGTAGATACAGACCTGGAAACTTCATCCATTCTGACTAGCTTTCATAGTGCTAGAAGGTGGTGTGCACACTATTAGAAGAGAAGTAATCTTCAGTCTTACCCAGCTGTTCAAACTACAGTAACTACTGGCCTGGGAAGAGATGCCCTCTAGTGCAATAGTGGCACAAATGTTATAGGAGTAACCGGTCAGCCTCTGCTTGAATTTAAGACCTGCCCCATACTTGGCACTGTGTCTAGATAGGTCCTAGGCCCTAGGGGAGAATCTCCCACTAATATCTTACTAAATAGATAGTATCAAAATGACTCCTAATGACTTGTCGCTGTACCTATAGATTAGTGCATCCCTCAGCCCTCATCAGAAAAGCTTCTCGCAGTAAAAGGCAATTAACACAGAGACCCACAACTGGTCAGCATGCAGAGAATAAGTGACTGCAGAGTCCTTAGCCCTAAATAAGACACCTGTATCACACCCCTCTCCCCAAGGCTCAGGGGACTTCATGGAAGAGAGTGCAGAGAGAACTGGAGGTGCCAGATAACTACAAGGAAACATTTGTTTCCAGACCACAGGGCAGTTGCACATATAAATTTATAGCGATTGTCATAGCATGCACAAGACCTGCTCAAGTCAGACATAATCCCAGCATGGATTGGGAAGGTGGGCATGAAGTCCCACCCTAGCTGAGGAGCTGATGACATTTGATAGCTGCTGGAAGAGAAAGTCGGTTTTCTTTAATGCTGTGGCCCCCGTAGGTCGACCACAATCTAGGGCAGGTTCCACACCCAAGAGTATGTGAGCATCATATATTGAACTCTATGGGGGTCAGGGAGAACACAAAGCTGGGTGGGTAGAGGTGGGGGTGAATCTTCGAGGAGTTTGGGGAGGGAGGAATACGATCAAAATGCACTGTTTAAAGTTCCCAAAAAATTAATAAAAATAATTTTGAAAAATAAAGAATTGAGTAAACTGGAAAAAACACAAAACTAAAACTATAAACCCTGAAGAAAGCGTAAGGGAAAATCTCCATGACATTGGATTTATTAATAATTTCTTGAGTTTAGTGAAACTATGAGCATCAGGGGATCACCTAGATGGCTTCTGCCATCAAATCAGAAGACCTGAGTGTGATCCCAAGACCCACAAGATGGAAGGAGCAAACTGAGTCCTATAAGTTCACACCATGACGCTCATACTCTCACACATAGACATGTGCATATCCACAAAATAAATAAAAATGTAAAAATAAATTGGACCTGGAGAGATGACTCAGCAGTTAAGAGCACATACTGCTCTTTCAGAGGACCTGAGTTTGAGTCCCAGCACCCACATCAGGCAACTTACAATCACCTGTAGCTCAGCTTCAGGGGATCTGATGCCCTATTCTGGCCCCTTCAGGTACCCACACAGATGTGGCAAACACAAACACATGTACATGAATAAAAATAAAAAAAATGTACGAGAATCAAAGTAAAGGTGGAAAATATAATTTTGTCAAAATTACAGATATGCATCAAAGGACACCTGCATTATAGTTCTCCAGAAAAACAGGGCCAATAAGAGAGGGATATAGCTAAAGACAGTAGACATAGGAGAGAGGTTATAAAAATTGACCTACATGAGGCTAGGAAGTCCTGTGATCTGCCATTTGAGAGCTAAAACTCAAGAAGGTTAGTGGTATAGTTCCAGTCCA